TTACGTGACATTTAAAAAAGAGTGAGTAGCGACGAAAAAATAAGAAAGGCCAATTTGCGCCGAAAGCGCACCAGCCAGCTGTTTGAAGCGCCGGAGGCGCGGCAAACAGGCTGGTTAAACAATTTATCAGCTGGTAACTTTTTAATCTTTTACAGGAACCGAGATAAGTTGGCTCAAAGTTTATGGACTGGGTGGCACTCTATTAAAGTGTTTACGGTAAATTTGAAAACATGACCACAAAAAAAGGATCTCAAATGAAGGAAAAATGAAACTTTTTCCAACCATTCTCAAAAACTACACCACACTTTTTGAACTGATAAACGCCATTTGGGCATGGAGCACACAGATCCGAATTTCCAAAAGTTTTGGCATAAAGGAGCCTTTCTGTTTTATTTCGCCAAGATGGAGCTACTCATATTTTTATACTAAAAAATCATCCAGTAAATATATGATTTTGTGACTCTAAATCTAAGTTTGTGTAGTCTCTGCTTCTAAATGCTTCCAGAAAGATCTGATAGCACGTGCCGAATTCAACCTCTAAAATTTTCATGAAAACAGGTGAAAAGTGTACAATTCTTTTTTCCTGATTTTCGCTTCCTTCTTATCGAAACTGAAAATGTGCAGATTTTCAAAAGCGGAATATTTCAGCGTCGCGCTTTTAGAAATGCGGATTCAAAATTTTGGTGATGTTGGGGGAGGGAGGGAAAACAATGGTGAATAAGTGGACCGAAAAAAACACATGCGAAGGAAAGTAACAAGAATGTATGAGTTCAGAAAAAAGGGTCAAAGTTTGTCCATCCGAGAGAAGAAAATATACATTGTGACAAGAAAATAAGCATACCGTCAAATCTGTAATAGAAGAGCTCTGTAACATTTAACTTTGAGCCAATGTTTCTCGGTTCTTGTCAAAGATATAAAAAAACTTGTCGACAAATAAAATGTTTATCTAAATATCAGAAACAATTTTACAGTTGACAAGATTTTGATATATTTTTTATAAAAATCGAGATAATTGAGCTCAAAGTTGACAGTGTGGGATCCACTGATACTATCTGATGAGAAACAATCTGGAAGACTGAACATTCAAATCGTTACTTTTCCGAAAAAAAAAACTAACAGTAAGTTATGAAAAACAAAATATAGAAAACATACTCTTTATGACCAACGGTCATAAACGGGAGTAATCATCAAATGAAGACTGATATTCAGCTGTTCGAACTATTGACGATTACAGATGACTAATCCTTATAGAATTCATGTTAAACGAGAGTTAATAGGGTCCTACTTACGCTTTCAATATATATTTACATCATAAAAACAACTCGAAATCATCATCATTTCAAAATTTTGTCTGAAAACCTAGTACTCAAAAAAAAACACACACACCCATACGTTTTTGGGTCTCGAAAAGTCAGCTTAATGAATAATTAAAGAGAAAGTAGGCGAAAAAAAGAGGCATAGAAGACGAAGAAGAAGAAGAAGAAGAGATATTCCAAGGAATCTGAATGAACAAGGATAAGAAGAAGGCATCAGAAAACATTTGGAATCCCTACGTCGGCACATCATCCGACGTCCCCTCTCTCAAAATTGTTACTTTTCATTTTGAAAGGAAAATTGAAGACGTGCCGAGATTGGAGAGCAACTTCAGCCTACGCATTTTTCAGAGACAATTACTGTAAGTATGGGGTATTTGATTGACGTATGTATAATTTCTAATACCATAGGAAAGTAGACCAAACAGAAAAGGACATAGACCATCTGAAGCCTATCAGTCTAGAATTATTTTTAGTATAAGGGTGCAAAAAATTTGATTATTTTGAAATCAAAAATTTTGGACGCAGTTAAAAAAAATCACAGTTTAAAAACAAACTCATATATACATATAGGTCGAGAACTTGACTTCAAACTACACTCAACCAAAGATCGAATCAACTAACTGAATGTCTTTTTTCTTTTTTTTTCCATGTTCATTAACTTCCAGAGCACCTAAGGAGAAGGAATTTGCTCCGGAAGTGAAAGAAAGAAAAGAGGAAGTGGATAAATTTTGTTTCAGCATCTTCATCCTTCACTCTAATTATGTTGTTAGAAAAAATAATTGTTGAAGATTTATATAGAAGCAGAGGTCCATTATCATCAGAAAAGTAATCTGGAAAAGTGTCAACTTGGATAATTGTGGGTTTCATTGGTATTCCAATTGTGGAACTATCATTACTTTAGTAGATTACTCTTCCAACTGGCCTCAATTTGAATTCGAAAATTGTCTCAAAATACCGAGGGGTCTTGAATAAGGAATGCCAAAACTATTTTTCCGAAAATCAAAATTTATCTGATTCAGTAACAAAAAGATAATGTATTCTCGAAAAAAAAGTTAAAAGACAAAGAAACTTCTTTACAAAAACAGAATAATTAACAAATTAGTTTCAACGTCTTCAAGAGAAGAAGAAGACAGAAAGAAGAGCAAATTGAGTGAGGAAAAAACTTCTGTCCTTTTTTGAGGGGAAAAATGCCTTGAAGTTTTGTCAAACGTTTTCATTCTCAAGGGATAACTAAATTCTAATCATTCGTCTTTGGTTTAAAAATACAGCAAAGACGACAAAGGGCGAGAGGGAGAACTATTGTTAGGGTACAACATGACGACATGCAATATGTAGAATACAGTCTTTAAATATAGAAAAATACTTTAAGATTCTCAAAGCATTTTTCTGAAAATCAAGACTCGTTGAACATCTCGTTTCTATTAAAAATTCATTATCTATCCTTCATATCTCCAGAATTTTTCCGGCACTTCCTGGAACTATGTCTAAGGATTCAGCAAAACTTGAGGAAATCACGTCAATCTGAAAGAGGCATGACACAGAGAAAAAACAGATACTGCAGCTGATCAGAGATTTTTGAAAGATACTCAATAAACTTATTCTATCTCTCTGAACATTATAATTGTTTCTTTTTAATCAGACGACATCTAGTGGATGTCTCTATTTCCAAGGAGCATTCAATATGTAATTATTGTACTTTTAGTTGTTTATACATACGAGCTCTCGGTCTTGTCTGAAAGGGTTCTATTTGCGAGAAACAGAAAACAACACTGAAAAATTGATAGAAAAAATAGGACGAGCTTGTGGAAAATAATAAAAATAGGATATGAGAGAAAGGGAACACAGGGATAAACTTTTGCACAAGAAAATTACAAGTTTCATGAATTTTAATTCATCTCAATTTGGGTACCCTAGAATATAAAACTTGAAGAAAGTGGGCAATAAAACTATGAATTTCAAAGGAAAACGGAATTGAAAATTATTATTTCTATCGTTGAAGGCAACTCCAAAAGAAGCCCAGGTCCAGAATACATTCAGAAATTGTTAAACCAAGAAAAATTGAATTCAATTCTTTCTTCTTTCTTCATAAAACAGATTGATTTCACTGTGCCATTGTATATTGGAAAAGTGTAAAAAGGAAAGGATACCCAGTTTTAATGGGGTCCGAAACTTTGAAAATCACTGGTGCAGAAGATCTCGTTTCACTATTCGTCTACTTTTTTCCAGGGAGTTTTCACTTTAGGAAAAAAGGAAAAGAGAGTGAGAGGGTAATAATTTTCCTATGATACACAGAAGACGAATCTCGCATACAGTGCTCCTCAAAAAGATAAACGAGAAAACGGATATATTCCAAAAACACCTTTACGGTGTCCGGATTCCATATTCCGGATTTTGGATTTTAGACTCCGTTTACTGAAAAAAGCCCGCAATCCAGACTTCCGAGCTTGAAATTTTTAATGGCATACCGTAAACCCTGTAGAAAAAGCGAGGTCATGATCTAGTAAAAATTGGGTCATGACCTAGAAAAAATTGGGCCATGACCTAGAAAAATCGAGGTCATGACCTAGAAAAAATTGGGTCAGGACCTAGAAAAATCTAAAATGATCAATTTTTTAGCGTAAATCCTTTTCAGTTCCAAAAAAAAGAAAAAAATGAGTTGAACACTTTGAACTCAATTATCTCGAGCGAAAGATATCAAAAAGTGGTCAACTGATAAATCGTTTATTATAAAATGCTTGAAATTTTATCAGTTGAGACTTTTCTGACATCTATATTCCATATTACATTTTCATATTCTTTTGAATGATACATTTGAACGATTACCATGAACATCTTGAAAATAAATTTTAAAAATGAAATTCACGAATTCGGAATTTTAAATTTTTTGAAATCGGGGCGGAGTTTCAACTTTTGCAGTGCTGCAGTTGAACTGTGCGGCAGTTGCAAAGTAAACTCCGCCCCGATTTCCTCGGAATCGGTTCCTCGGAGACACCACCTTCCTCGGAATTGGTGGAGTGTCGAACTTTTTTCTAAGGACCAGCATTTTTAAAGGACCAGAACTTCATTCTGGAGCCTATATTTGATCAAATCGATGTCATTGAGGAGCGTCGTACGTTAGATATGATATTCCTAGTTAGATCTGCAAATCATCTAATTATCCGTGGTTTTTCTAATGAGAGCTAATTAGACGTGAAACGATTTCCCTGAGGTCTCGAAATTCTGGAATTACATCTGAAAAAGCCAATAAATTCGAACATCTAAATAGTAATCTCAACGGTTTCATTTAGTATATAGTACTTGAAGCAGTCTCAATTACAAAAAATACACACGTAGAAGCGTTTGGATCGTCTTTTGTCGAAAGCCTTTGAGCTTGACGATCGTCATTGGGAGAGTGAGAGAGAAAAGGAGGTGGTGTGAAAAGCCGGGAAGAAAATTGGGTACAAAATAACGGAAGAAAGAGAGAAATGTGGTTAGATTTAGTAGGAACAGAAGTACAGAAATGGAAGAAAAATAAGGTATAATGGACTGGCTAGAAAATTATAGAGAAAAGGCACCATCGAAGAATTAAATGACTAGGTTTTTTAGAAACGAAAGAGAACGGTACGAAGTAATAAAGGAAAAGAAAAAAGTATTTACAAACATGATTTCTGATGAGAAAGAAAAATATAAATATTTATATAATTTTTAGGATCCTGATCCACTCCGATCATTATTTTCTTGGCGTGGTAACAGACGATTGAGCAGATTCTGTGCAGACTGGGCAGCAGCTGAAAAGCCGCGTGAATGATGGGTAGTCGGTGGAACGATCATCGAAGTAGTAGTAGTTGGTTGATACGATCGCCGGCGAGCACTCAAATTTGGCGAGTTTCTAGAAGAGGTCAGATCTGGGACGAAGCCGCTGCTGCTTAGAGATGCTGAAGCTGTTGGAGTTGCGCCTCCGTCTAGTCGGGTTGTATAAGTGCTCGATGAGGGACGCTGGTGGAGATGATGAGAGGGCGATGGACTTCTGAAATATAGTTTTAATAAAACCTTTACATTGATGAAATTGATAGTGAACAGGGTTTTCGCGTAAGAGAATCAGTTATGACTGTGTGTATGGAGAAAATTAGGCAAAAACAAATAAATTTATTGGACAGATAAACTAACCTCATCCTTGTATCTCTAGCCAAAGGACTAACTGCAATGGACTGGGATTTCTGTTTTACAGCGGAGATACTAGATGCAGTGGAAGAAGACAAGGCAGCCGGGGAGGATGTTCCAGAGTTAGATGCTGATGACGATGGAGATGATGATACCATTCGCGGGGCATTAGATGAAGAGCTTGAAGGTATAGCGGCTGGCGCTGAAGTGACAGAGGAAGAGGAAGAGGGGTGATGATGTTGATGATAGGAAGACGTGGAACGAAGGGAAGATGGACGGTTCGCCTAAAAATTAAGCACACTGGGGGTCAAAACATAAAAGCGACATGATGATGTGGTGATGTATTGTGAGGGTAATGTACACTTACCTCAATTTCGTTGACACTTCTTCTCACCATCCCTTGAGATGATGTGGATGTTTCTTGTGGTGCTTGCATTTCTGGAAGAGGTTTTGAAGTTCCCGGAAGATGTGTTAAAATAGATCCGTCTTGACTTGAAGCACTTCTCGGCATGAATGCTTGCTTTTGGCTCGAACTTCCAGGTACAATATCGTTGGTTGCTCGCTTTCCAGAAAGACGTCTCAGAAGAGCCGATGGTTTTCTAGCTTTCTTCTCCAGTGGAACAACTCTCCTTTGTGGTCTCTTCGGCTTCTTACGTGCCATTTTTCCGATAGTACGACGAGCAGCACCTTCTCTGATGCTGGTGGAGGTGAGCGGAACAAGACGAAGAATCAACTCATTTCCATTGGATAGCAGGCGATGCATTAGTTGTGGATGTGTTAGATTGTGAACAGGATGTCCATTCACATGGGTTATCATATCATCAGCCTGAAGTTGGGCTTCAAATGCTGGACTTCCATCCACAACAGCTGTTACAATATGCTCAATCGTGTAGTATTCAGAGTGTTCACCAAGGTACACTCGAACAGATTTCAATGTGAATCCAAAACCGAACGGTCCTTTTCGGATTGTAATCGTTTTCGATTGCGTCGAAGAAGAAGCAATAGAACCATCTTGAGTCAAAGGATTATCTTGTTGGGTTAGATGTGGAGAGCCAATGTCATTTGACGAAGAAGCTGATGAGACAGATGCTCCTCCCGGCGAAAGTTGAGACCCAGCAGAAGTGAAAGGGCCAGATGGGTACATCTGAAAACAAGATTAGAGAATTCCGAAAGATCATTATGACTCACCACGTAGCAAGTCTCTTTCGCTGGTTCTACATTTTGTGTTGTTTGGGAAGAAGAAATCGATGGGATAACAAGCTGAAGTTGAGCAGCAGGTGATCGTCCAGAACTTTGTCGACGGAATCGAACTGTCTCATCAGCACCAGCATCAGAAGATGCGTTCGAGTCAATCGTGCAGTTCTTGAGATCTTCGTCATCTTTATTATCCTTTGTTGCAGCTCCCGCTTCTCCTTCACAAGAAATTGAAAACTTGGGAAGAGGGGAACGAGATCCACGTTCTGCAATCGAAGCACGAGATGGCGGTTGGAATATTGGAAGAGTGGATGCATCGATAGAAGAATCAGTAGAGGATGCAGCTGTCGCAAAGCATGTTCCAGATCCAGTGCCAGATGAAGACGTTGTGGAAACATTGTGACGTTGAGCAGAGAATCTTCTTCGAAGGTTCACAGCCTGTGAAATGAACGAAATCAGTGATATTGAGGTTGCACAACTTACAGTGCTCGTATGGTCGTCAGAAATATTGAACAAATCTGGTGGAGCTTGACCAGTTGAATATGATCTCTCCGGGCGAACTTCACTTCTAGAGGACATGGAAACTGAGTGAGATCGCTCGATTTCTTTGGCAGCGGCGGCTGTGGAGAGTAACTGAAAACGTTGGATTCAAGAAGATGGTAGGTGGGGCAGAAAAGTCTTAGAGACAGTTTGGAATTGGTGCAACTTTTCAATAAAGTTGTACATCTTGGTTCTCTTTTTACAACAACGCAAACCTTACATGTGGCAAATGTGCTGGATCAATAGAAACGATTGAATGTCGAGGAGACGCTGTGGAGAATGAATGGAACATCATTGAAGAAGCTGCGGAAGAACCTCCAACTTCCTCCTCTCCACAACTTTCAGCCTCATGATTGTAACGATCGGTTCGGGCTGAAAATTGCTAATTAAAAACATAATTACAAAGTTTTCAACGAACTGTCAAAGTAACTGGTGTCCTCTTCATTGTCCAACTGCGGCACGAACTCTGCTTTTTGTCTCAGAAGCGATGTGAAATCAAGAAGAATGAAGAAAGCATGTGCCATCAGCTGTGCTGCTCCATTCACAGTTCCCAATCGTTCTGCGGGATTCTTCTCAAGAAGACGTCGACAAAGATCTTCAGCTTCCGGTGGAAGCGCCTCGTCTTCTTCAGGATATTCTACATCTTCACTGATGACCTGAAAACGAGGAGTTGCACAGATTTAGAAAACTTGATTTAAATTACCTTTGAAAATAGAGCTTCTGGAGTTTCTCCGAAGAACGGAACAATTCCAACAAGAAATTCGTAAAGAATAATGCCCAGCGCCCACCAATCAACTGGTTTTCCATACCCACGGCGAAGGATCACTTCGGGTGCAATGTATCTGAAGGAACACTTGTTTTGTAAAGTTCATACCAGGTGTTATCTTACTCTGGCGTTCCACAAAGTTGCTTGTCCTGAAACTGTTGTGTTTCAGCTACAGCATCATATCCTTCAGCTACAAGCGTTGTTCTATTCATTAATCCGATTTTCGAAAGACCAAAATCTGTCAACTTAATGTGACCCATAGCAGTAATAAGAAGACTGTAATAGAACGATATACGAAATCAGAAAGTATACTTCTGGAAACTCACTTATCAGGTTTCAAATCTCTATGCACAATTCCATACGAATGAAGGTACTCGATTGCAAGAATGGTTTCTGCTACATACAATCTCGCCAACTCAACTGGTAGAGTTCCAGCTGACTTCAGAAGTGCTGCACAATCACCACCTTCCACGTATTCCATAAGCATGCACAAATATTGTCTTGTCTCAAAAGATCCGTAGAATGAAACGACAAAGGGGTTATCAGCCATCGTGAGAATATCCCTTTCCGCGAATACTTGATCGACTTGATTCCTAAGCATCAACGTTTGCTTGTTCATTTTCTTTAAAGCGAATCGTTGTCGAGTTTCTCGATGTCGTACAAGGTAAACAGCTCCGTAGGCTCCATTAGAAACAAGTCTAATTGTATCGAAATCATCTTCGCTTGGTGCACGATTCGATTCTTGCCAAGTGCCACCTGGACCTTTCGGTCCTGATGCACTTGAAGTTGTAGGAGCAGTGTCTTCTGAAGTGTCTACGTGGTCCGTAGAATCCATCAGAGGATCGCGATCAAGTCCGAGTTTTCCGATGATGTACTGCGGCAAGTCAGGAACTCGGGCTGTTCCACTTCCCAGTTGCTCACGAACGACTCCTTCTGCTTCTTCGAGCAAATGATAGAACTCATCTGGATCGAATTCAAGACATTCCAAAAGGCGGGCAGGTCGGGAAACAATCATTAAAAGTTTTTTAACAAGTTTAGACAAATATTCCAAAGACTCAGGCGATGTTTTCATCTGAGCCTCGTTCAGAGTTTCTTCTAATCGCTGACTCATTTCGCAAAAATATGAACAAGTGATCAGATCGTCTTTAGATTTTCCGAGGCAGTCTAACGCAATTTCCACTATTTGATGATGAAGAAATCGGGTGGCACCGTCTCCAATCAACCGAAGAAGACTCCGATCCGCATAAGACTCGGCTTCCAGAACCTAAAGAATAAATTTTTAATTTTATTTCTTCATTCAAGAAATGTATCAAATTTAAAAGTGAATGAAAAGCTTTTTTTTTCAAAAGATGTCTAATGACAGGTTTTTTTTCAGAATCCAAACAATTGGGTCACAAGACACAGAGAGATGCTAGAAGTGTTCCTGGCACACAAAAGTAACAATAACTTCCTTGGAATTTTTTTAAAAAACGAACAAAGCAAACAGGTGGCTTGTGTTGTGCTTTTGCACCTGTCACAGAACCTTGCCATCATGTGGAGGCCACAGAAACCAAAGAAGACCAGGAAAGTGTACACTTTTTTTTCGAAAAATTGCGGCGCCCGTGCCTCGAAAACTCATCATTCACTACTCGCCGTTTCTTCTTTTAGAAAGAACGAAGATGAGGTCATTTTTCATTCGAAAGTATCGAGGAAAAATAAAAAAAAATTATTTGGAGGGAACAAGGGAGAGAGTGATGAATGGATCAGAAAAATAGAAAATGGAAGAAGCACATGGGAATGTAAGTCGGTTTGAAAACGGGACTCAAATCTATCCAAGGAGAAGGAAACGAGATGAATTGAATTAGAAAAAGCGTAGCTTTTCAAAAATTGAGTTATATCTTCTTATTGTGTGTTAATAGAAAACAAGTAAACACATTTGAGCAGATCCCATGGATTCAGACGAACCGGAGCAACCAAGAATCTAATTTCCCTCAAAACCCAAACTCACAGTTGATCGTCGACTTCTCATCACTGCTTCTTCAACGCTGTCTTTCGGTTTCAGTCCACTACCACTTCCAGATTGTTTAGTAACCATATCATCATTCGAATCAGCTTCATCTCGACCTGATTGCTGTGAAATACCTCCACTAAGTGGTCCATTTTCAGCAACAAATGTATTCAGACGCTCTTCCATTTGCAGTTTCGCTCGAGGGAATCTTTCTTTATACACACTTGTTCGATTCACCATTTCTATGTTATATTCATTGAGAAACTTCATAGGACTTCTGAAAATAAAGGAATTAATCTAAAGTATCTACTAACCTATATCTTACGTTAAACTCCGACTCCTCGGTCGATTCAAAAATGCATTCTGTGCAGCTGCCTGCTGTTGTGATGCCATATCATCATATGAATCATTGCTGTCAAATCTTGAAGAATTCTGACGAACTGGACCTGATATCCGTGTCTGTTCGAGCATTTCGCCAATTTGTTCAGACGATGAATATTGACTCTGAAGGGATCGATAACGAAGTTTGACTAGAAGAGGTCTTCGGAATATTGTGTTGCTCATTTTTGAAATAGAAGTAGTCAGTAAATAATAATCGTTAAAAACTAAGACAAAACAGCTATCTTCTGACCGCTTCTCGGTTATGAAGACGGCCAAATTTTGTGGTTTTCTGATTTTTTTGTATTCCTAATCCACAGAAAGCGTATAACTTACAGAAACGCCTGAATTACTCCCGGTTCCTGGCGTGCCGTATCCACTTGTAGATGGAAGTGAAGCGAGCGACCAACGGCGTGTATCTTGAACAGGAGCCATCAATGAGCTGCCATTCCGTGCAGAATAAGTTCTGAAATTAGAAGAAAAATTGTATTGATATTTTTCTCAACAAAAAATAAAATTTTCGAGTTATTCTGAATTTTCTCAATTAGTCATTCAACTACAGAAGAAGAAAAACATCTACTTACTCTCACTATTTTGTTTTCATGTAAATTCGTTGCAAAACAACAATTATACCCATCTCATGACGAATATCACACGGGTGTCGAAAAACGAAATCTTATATGACATAGAAAGGAACACAATACTTGTGGTGTCACAGACTACCGGGACTTTTTAAATTATGTGTTTAGCTTTTTGCAGAGGTTGGTACCACCGACAATCTCGAACACTGGATCAAAAAACGGGGTAAACAGCGGTCTTGGCGTTTTCAAAACGAGGAGACGAGGAAGATAAAACAAAAAAAAAAAACAAAAAGTAGTCACAAGATTTTGAACATTCGCACCCTTCAACAGGACGCCCCGGTTGCCTGTTTGTCGATATCGAAAAGTTTTGTTTACATCTAGTCAGTTAACTTCGTGTGAAATAGGACTGCGAGAGAGAGTCTTATTTTCGACATACACGCTGCCAATAGAGGGCTGATTCCTGATATCAAACGAGTATTTTTCATCTGAATACTACGTAGGTACAAAAACACAAGTTCAGCATATTCGTCGAATTTCTCACTAACATCCATTTTCAGCTATTTTCATGTCTTACTTGAAAAAAAAATACATTTTTTAAAGTTAGACTTCGTTTTTTCAAAATCGAGTAATGAACTAATTGAAAATACCTCAAAGTGATTGCTCCACTATGCACCGAGCTTCCCGAACTACTCGGCCCAGCACCGCCAGCTCCGAAATTATGCGAAGAAGACGTTGATCTTTGTGGTACCCTCATCGGGGATCGGCATCTCTGCAGAGTGACCGGAGAAGTGGATGAATGCAGAGATGGTCGATGGTTTCCAGGAGACCGATTCGCAGATGATGGTGAAAAAGAAGAAAGTGCAGTAGTTGATGATTTGGTTGGAGGATGCAATGAAGATGTTGATGTGTTAAAACTATTTGTAGAACTACTCGAGAGCTGTGGATCAGAATGTCCAAGAGAAGAGCGGATGCGGCATAAATTTGTCATCGATGCACTTGACCAACCAGTTGATGCTGCCGTTTGACCGGACTCTGTTTCTACGCCACCTGGAAGAAACGTAAATAAAATGTGGGTCGATGTCTTGAAAAAACAGCTAGTGCTGAATCGACGTAAGGTGAAAGAGCACTACTCAATTATGCTTCGATTTCTGGTTTTTTGTGTTCGGGGGATAATGAAAAATTGATGAGTTTGGTTGTTTTTTTTTCTGTTTTTTCCGCTTCGAGGGTTTTCGAACAATGTAATAACGAAAAATTCGTTGAACACATGGTTACACCAATAAATTATTCTCACACGAGATGGCGGACTGGATATTTATTAAATCTAATTTTTCCGAAATCTCACCATGAATAGCCATTGTCCGCCTTCGATTCCGTTTCAGAAGTCTTTCGACATTGCCAACACTGTTACTATCAGATGAATCATTTCCTCCACCTCCGCTTTGTGGTCTATGAAATGATCTTCTTGGAGGTATCATCAGATTACCACTTCCTTTCCAAATGAGACCTGATGCTGAGGAAGAGGCAAAAAGAGCGGCCCCTGCTACCGGTGCACCAGTGTCGCTTTCGGAGTCGGAATTCTGAAAAAAAACACATTGAAGAAAGAAGTAACCTCTATGTGGAAAAGGGTCTCTTATTCAAAAAAGAAGCAAAAATTTAAAGACGCTTTTTAAAAAACGAAAAGACCAAAATAACAGGAAATAAATTTAAAACCGGCGACGAAGAAAGCTCAATGGCGTCAACGAGGAACAAGGCTTTTTAGGGACTTGCTTTGAATGTTGGGTCGTTTGAAAAAGACGCAAACCAGCATCGTCAAGTTTCAAATGGCTCCTCTTCGCCAAGAATTTCATCGCCAAGAAAATAAAAGTCCGAGGGAAAAAAGTCAAGATTTACATCTATCTCCTGCCTTACTAACAGGCCAAAGTTCTTCTAATGCAACTGACATTTCCCTTTTTCTTCTTCTACTCTTGTTTTGCTCTTTTTCCGACATGAAATGCTCATTTGAGTAAGCTGAGAGAGTTTAAAAATAGTTGACGATAAAAGCAAAAGTGGTTTGAAAAAAGTAAATACCGGAAACGGAATAGTAATAACTTAATCATTTACTGACGTATTAGTACTCTTCATAAGAAAAACAACCTATTCAATTTTTAAAATATAATTCAGAAAAGAAAAATTGTAGTATTGCGTGCATCCAAATCTGTTTTCGAGACAGTATAGTCGCTGTGAGAGTCAGCACAAATGGATTAATGATTCCTTTGAACTTTTACTAGACCACTTTCAGCACCATCATCATCATCATTTTCAGATCGATAATGGAATAATGCGTGAGACACAAAAATAGAAGGAAAGGGAGCTCCTCCCGAGCCGCACACACAAATGCGATGAGGGTGTCTACGCATTTTTAATTAGGACAACGAAGCGACAACGACGAAGGCATTTCCTTGGGGGACCAATCAGTTTGTGTGTGGGGGAGCGTGAATGCTGTAGAAGAGTAACAGAAATGTTTTCCGGCAGCTTTCTCAGAGCAATAAAACCAGTCACGAAAAGGAATTCACAAGTGAGGTTTTTGTTCCTCTAAAATCTTTAGGATATTTCGGATGGGTCTAAATTATGAAACGGATTTGATCTCCAAGAAAGCATATAGGAAACTAGAACCATTTGCAAATGATTCGCAGAAGGATCACCGGAATAGTCGTTAAAACATCAAGAGGAAATTTATCTTCAAAAAGAAATTAAGCTATCGGAAAGAAATACGGAAGTACGCTTCAAATCCACAAGTTAATGCATTAAAAAAATAAGGGAAATGAGACGGACGAAAAAACAAATCTGAAATGATTCAGAATCTGCCGCCGGCAAAAAAAGTGTGAAAAAGTTCTCCGGTCTGAGTTCCAAACTGACACGCAGAGACATTTGATGTGATGAGATGATAGAAAATTGTAACATTCTCTAGTCTAAACTTTGACCCATAACATCTATCAGGGTGGATTCAGATCCCCGCACGTCACCGAAAAGTTATGAGCTCGCTGAGCTTGAGCAGGTAAAATGTATCATTTGCATTACAGTTCTGAACTTGCAAGACAATTAATCGAACAATTAATTATTCTTTAAAATCAAACAATCCTAGTGAATCATCTTAACATAAATATTTCTTTCGAAGTAAATGAACGTCAAGAGAACGAAAACCTGAAAAAATGACTGAGGCGATGCGTTCCGGGTTATAAAATGTAAGCGACGAGAGAGATAAGAAATTTGGTGAAAGCGAGGAAAACTGAGTCAACCACAAAGCAGACATAACTTAATTATCTATGAATGGCGACGAAAAAGAGTACGAGAATGGCTTCAAAGAAATACATCAAATATGTGAAAACTAAGATTTGAGCCGTGTCTTTTTTCCGACGTTCAAAAGAAACCGAATAGACGAGAAAGGGAGAGGGAAAATGGACGAGATAATCGACTTTCGAATGACAAATTCGTTGTGTTTGAGAGGTGCCAGCCCCTACTAAAACTATCGAATTTCCTAGCGAAAAATGAAAGGATTTCTAAAAAAGGATGTAAAAAAACTGAAAATGTTGGTAAAGACACATATAAAATTTAAAAAAAAAGAGAAGAGAATTCTGACTAAATGGAAAAATATAGAATCGAATGTGAATTGGAAAAGCATATCGAAAAGTAAAAACCAATAATTGGAATGGAAATTTTGGTCGTTCACACAGTGCGGTATTTCGCATTTTCTGCCTCAATTCACCACGGAAACTTTCAATTGCTATTGATTTTCAAATAGCCGTCGTCGGAATTACTTTCTCAAACTAGAAAACGCAAAAAAAATCCGAGAACTGACACTGGAAGTTTTGACTATTTAACAACGAAGAAACTGCTTTAAAAGTTGATAGTTGATGGATAATTCAAAGCAGAAAAATGGAATCGGAGAGAAAAATAGAGCTTGAGTAAAATTAAAAAAGACCAGAAACGACATTTCGGAATAAAAAATTTCAGAATATTCATGCTCGCTGAATATGAGAGACAGTTTCAATTCGAGAGACACAGACAAAATAAACGGAATCGACGCAAAAGTATCGTTTGCGCTCTTTTCGTGCTTCTTTTTCTGCTATTTTTCATCTCGCCCGGACACTTGAGAGAACTCTTTCTCTCTTCTTCACCCTTTTCTTCCCTAAATATCATCAATTCTTCTCTCGATGCACAATGTGAGCGAATTCTCAAAAGTGTGTAGTATCGATTTTTAACAACTCTTAACACAAGAACAAAAGAGATAACCAATCTTTTTGCGATACTTGAAATTGAGAAGAATTGGTCAAAACTTGGTCTTTTTACGACAGTCCTTCATTTGCTCGAGTTTGCAGGTCATAGGGAAAAAAAAATAGAGGAAACAGGTTATCTATTTGTATCAGTACTTTTGCTGATAAGGATTCCATATAATTAGGTATTATTAGAGCCATTTACAGTTTAGCGAGAGTATTTACTACGGTATTCTGTCAAAACGTTGTAGCAAAATGAGAAACCAATTCAGTGGCTCGCTCTTCTGGGATCATCATAATGCAGGAATATAATGGAATCGTCCTTTAAAGAGAATAAAGAGAATGAAATTATTATGACGAATAAGAGCCAATTATCCACCCATTTTTTATAATATAAATAAAATAGTTTATTTTCGCAATGATACATTTTCTAAAGTGGGAAATGAGTCAGTGTCAAACAGTATTTCTCGATCGAGCAAGGAACCGAATGAGTCATAAAAAAGATCACGAGAGGAAGTGTGTGGAGTCAGAAAAAACTTACATGGTGAGTGCGGAAAGTCGGTGACATTGACATTGTTGGAGAAATCGAACGAATTGGACGAGAAAGAACGGGGGAGAAGACAATTGGTGGTACATTTATACAATCCGAAGATGAACGGTTGCTCTGAAAAAAAGTAAATTGATAGGCGGACAGAGATTATCACTGTAGAACCCCAATCGTAGATAGAAGTAAATACTCACATGAGAGTTAACATTTCGAGAAATTCGTCTGTTCATGATGGGGGAATGGTGACAAATTTTCAGAATATTTTCAGATTTTAATGCGAAAAGTGAGAAATAGAGAACAGAATAAATAGGGGGAGCAGGTGTCTGCCTAACGACTAATTAGCTTTTCGGTTGCATTTTTTCGAAGCTTTTTTTAAACGAAAACAAATTCACGAAGAACGCCTGCGTTTTGAAATTTCCATTAGTATAAAAATACATTTTTCCATACT